CGTTCTGGAGTTAGATTAGTATAGTTCGCGGCGCAAAGCGCCGCGCACACCTTCAATTAACATGCGAAACAGCTTACTCGCAGCGGCCGCAGGAAAAATAATAATTACATTTTTCCACTTTACACCTACAAAGTTGAAAGTGTCTTGAAAAAGAATCGAGAAACAGTCAGTTATCGTAATATTGTGTTTAATTAAAATTAAGTGAGATGCTCCCAAATGAAAAGAAGACCACATCCCATTAGTGACGTTAACAAGTAAGGTCTCAAAAAGGTGGTTTGGCTATGGCTTTGCTTTTACGACGACTGTATCCCGTCTCGTTGCATCTTCTGTATTTTTCTGTGCCGAATGTTACTACTATTCAAACCCCTCACTGCAGGTTAGTGTGTCCTCAGCAATGAGCATCTACAGCGAACCCGACGAGAGTTTCAATCACGGCCTAACTATTTCAGGCGACATCTTCTTCAGTGTCGACTATGATACAAAGCGCGGAGCCATACGTATATTCATGAAACAAGCCAGACAAATAACCCCGGCTGACACCAAAGCCTCCACATCGGATACGTAAGACACCCAGTACATTAACTTTATATTTCAGGCCGTATTTTTTACCAAACTGAATTCACCTTTAGCACTTTCTGTTTTATTGTAATTTCGAGAACCCTATTTTCCCAGTAAGCATGAATATAGCCCGTTCTTCACTCGCTTACATATTTTTCGGAAAATATTATTGCACATTTGTAGAGGTCGATTTCCGTTTTGTGCATGGAGGAGTAAAAATGGAGATTCTTATGAAGCAGTGTTCTACCATAAGATGTTTTAATATGAAATCAAACATTATGAATGGTAGAGAGCCATCTGTTCTGATACCTACGCTTCCTAAGTGGACTAGCAGGGTAACAGTATTTTAATGTCTCGTACTAGTAGCTAGAGACTTGTTATGACGAAGCAACGGCGCGTGGGGCATTGAGTAATCGATTTTTTCCTAAAGTGGACGAATGAACTTTTAGGCTGCCAATTGTTTTGCTAAAATTGCGCAAGGTTAGCATAGAACGACCTCCGAGAATTCTGCCTGATGATTATGTCGTAATTATGCTCGAAACGAACCACACGGGTCTCTTAAAAGAACGTCGACATTTGTGTTCGGAGGCACGTCTAGTGCATTACTTTCTACTTATCATCAACTTATCCTTAGAATTTACTTAGTCAGCTTGTCTATCTTTGGGGTACCTAAAAAAAGATTTTCTGTATGCTTAAAGTCACCTTAATAAAAGTCCCTTATGAGACGTTTTTTTGCGAAGTTATGCTTAAAATGCAATATGGAATGTAACTGAATTCTTAATGGAAACTTTATTCATTTTAATACTTAAACCTCTTATTCTTTTTGACCACTTTAAGGTTTGTGAAGACCTATCTCCTACCAGACAGAACGAAGGCCAGTAAGCGGAAGACCAGCCTAAAGAAACATACATTAAATCCGGTTTTCAATGAGGAATTGGTTTATCGTTTTCCAAAGTCCGACCTTGCCTACCGCACTCTCCAGGTGTCCCTCTGGCATCAGAAGGCCTTCGGAGCAAATCTCTTCCTCGGCGAGGTTCTCCTACCTTTGGGCGAATTCCACTTTAGCGCCACACCTGAGTGGTACCCCTTACAGGACCGTGTAGGTTATTTCCTCTTTTGACTTACATGACATCGTTTTATGTAACTGACTGTCTAAGCACGATGGAATCCATCGCAACTGTTGCAACACTATGCGCGTGTTACCAAAGCTTCCGCTTTTTTCAAACAGGTGCGCTAAATACTTCAAATGTGGAATGTGGATATGCGGTGTAATGTACCCAACTCCCGCATCTTTACTTCTACTTGAACTTAAGAAGTTAATTTTTGCGCGTTTGCATATTCTCTGTCACAAATGTGATATTTTTAAGGATGAGAATGCTGCTTGAAGCGAGAATTTTGTTGCCTGCTTTGGCCCTTCCTTCTTCACTGGGTGTTCTGTTTAAAACAATATCGGAAGTGTCCTAATCCCTACTCATGCAAAATTAGGTCTGAACACGTCTCTCCATAGTTAAGCATTGTTGCTGGAGAGGCGTTGGAAGGTTTCTAAAAAGAGAGAGATTCCATTTAACTTCCTCACTGTCTTGAAAGTATCGTAAAGAGGTGCTTTATCTGAACAGGATGTAAGTTAAGCGATCGTCATCTTTAAATTCTTTCCATTATTCCATTTCATTTATGTCTCGTCAGTATCAAATGCAACTGTGACCTTGAGAACTAGTACCGTATAGTTTCAGCCCACTTAATACTCACATTTTCTGCGCATAAGTACTGCATATCTCATAATAAGAGGCGATCCCGGAATATCTTCGTTTCCTACAATTAGCCATATCTTCAATACCACACGAGGAATGCCTCCAGGAATAAAGAACTGAGAAAAATTAAACAGGATACAACTATATTGACAAACTAATTTTTTTTACCTTTACCCACTCTGCAGTAACAATATTACTTGAAATCTACTGGATGTCAGCTTCATTATCGTGATCATGGGTTTAAGGGAGCCGTTTATGAATCCAGGAGCGAATGGCTGGGACATGATCTTGATTGAGCCCTTCCGAGTGAAATGAGCATTGGTTTCGTCGAATGGAGAAATGATGCTGCATATTCGGCTTTTCTCGACGAAAATTTTCAATTCCTCGTAATCAAGACGTGAGGAGGGCACTTGCTGTGTCAAACAACACACTTTTCCCCGTCCCTTGGATTGCAATTAATTATTTCTCCCTCGAGTAAATTAACCTTTGCCAAAAAAAGCGGACCTACGAGTTCTAGAACGCACTTGGACAGAAGATTCGATTGCTGAGACAACCCTTTTATTCGTTTGAAGTTTCGATATCCGTCGCGGATTATTCATTAGAGACATACGCAGAAAGCAGTAGCAAGAACGGGTTACGCACGCACAGAACGTTGCAGTATTTATAGGACAGATTCATTACCGCACACTCATGACTAATGACAATTAACGATAATTGCCCTAATTGCTTGCTTGATTACCGGCGTGACTTGCTGAAATTTCATCATGCGTGGTGGAGCTGGACGTGGGCATGGCGGATTAACCTTTGCTAATTCACGTCCTGAATAATTTGCAAAACGTTAACGAGGTTAGCAAAACATGGCAGGAGGTCCCG